GGCTCCTTCTGTTAGCGATAAGAATGCATGCGCTATGCTTGGCTCATATTAGACACTTATTTATGGTGTCTTTATTTAATGGTTTCAGAGAGCAAATAAGAAGAGGAAACATCTGATGATATGATTGCTTCTGTTCAGTAATCAAATTGGAATCAAATTTCCCCACTGCTTATTTTTTTCTTTCTTGTAGTGCCAGGATGATAACATTTTGCTTGGTTTTAGTTTTTTGAGGCAAGGTCTCAAGTAGCCTAGGCTAGCTTCAAACTCATTATGTAGCTGAGGATAACCTTGAGCTCCTGATCTTCCTATCTTCACCTCAGATGCTGAGATTATAGGCCTGAGCCACCATGCCCAGCTTGATAAGATTTTAAAAGACAAGGACTGTTTTTGATTTTACACTTTGAAAGTTTGCCAAAACACTGATAAATGTGCTATATACAGATTTAGCTAACATAACAGTATTTTTTTTTACTTCTGTATTAAAAAAAAAAAACAGGACAAAGTACATTTATTTATTTCCATTTTGCTTGAATCTTCCACAATTATACAAATGAGGAAATTGCAATGTTTGATAACTTCTCTATAGTTAAACAGTTCTGTCTTTTTTTCCCTTTAATTTTAGCAGAGCCAGTTGCATGCTTACTTATCTTCTATTGCTTTTAAAATTTTTATTCATTACTTTTATTTTCTGTGTATGAGTGTATTGCCTGCATGTATGTAAATGCACCTGGGTCATGCAATGCCGGTAGAGGTCAGAAGAGGGCATTGGATCCCTTGGAAGTGGAGTTAGAGATAGCTGTTAGCAGACATGTGGGTGCTGGAATCAAACCCGCATCCTCTGCAAGAACAGCCAGTGCTCTTAATCGCTGAGCCATCTCTCCACTCCTCTTCTATAGCTTTTTACAATCCTGTTTTTCCCCCCCCCCCCGTTACAACATGATGTATGCTAGAGATTAATGCAAAATGGTAAAGAAGCTTCCATTTCTATGTAGTTTATGTATGAAAAAAGTAAGTACCATGAGGGTTGAATGTGGAAGAAACAGTAGACACAAATTGAAATGCTGGCTAGCATGGTAGTACATACCTACAATTCCAGGTCTTGGAAGCTGAGGCAGGAGGATCATCACTAGTTCAAAGCCAGTCTGGGCTACATGAGACATTGTCTCAAAAACAAAATCTAAATGACAGGGACTGAGGAGATGGCTTCGTGGCTAAAGTTTCCACAGTGTAAGCATGAAGACTGGGAGGTCAGATCCCAGCACCCACGTAAATGCTGAGTGAGCATGCTGGTCCACATTTCATTCCAGCACTTTGAAGTCAGAGAAAGGGGGTCCCTGGGAAAACTGGCTACCCTGACTTGACATATAGGTGAGTCCTTGGTTCCAGTGGGAGACCCTGCCTCAAAGAACAAGATGGAGAGCAAAGCAGCAAGATTCTTGATATCACCCTCAGGCCTCCACACACAAGTGAACTTGTATACATACAGGCACCTATACCACACATATCATATATGAGAAAAAAATTTAAATAGGCAAGCAAGATGACTTTGGTGGGTAAAGGTGCTTGCTACCAAGCCTGATGACCTGAGTTCAGTCCCTGGGACCCACAGAGTGAAAGGAGAGAACTGACTCCCACAAACAAGTTGTCCTCTGACTTCCACACTCATGCCCTGGCATGTTTGTGCCCCCTCCTACACATAGACACAGACACAGACACAAACACACACACAGACACACACACACACACACACACTCAATACAGGAATGTAAAAAAGAAATTTTGAAACTTTGATAGGTAGAAATGCTTGTCCTATTCTCCCCACATTGTTCTGGTTGTCCCAGTGCATTGCTAATAGCATTTTCTTTGTTGTCCTGTGTGCCTTTATGATTCTACTGACTTGGGGGAGGGGTCTTTCTTTGGCTCATCTGTCAATGGTCTGTCAACTTTACTTCTACTAAATTTCAATGACTTCCTTCCCCTTTACGATTGGCACATAAACTTTTTTCCTTATTGGGTTATTCTCTCAGTAATATACACACTTCCTATACCTCTGCTTCCCTTTCCCTTTGCATCAAGTCAGCTAATCTACTGCCCTTGCTACTTTTCCATTTTATATTTTCACAGTGACAATTCACTAATAATTACAGCTAGCTTTTAACAATTTATTTAACTGAGAAAGGGTCTTATGTAGCCCAGGTCACCCTAAACTTGCTATGTGTTGAAAGATGACCTTCAGCTACTCATCCTCCTGCCTTTACTTCCCCTGTGCTGGGATAACAGAGGTGTGCTATCATGCCCAGTTGATTATAGTCCCTTTAAGAAATCATTATTTTTGAGGTCTCAGAAACCTATGATCCTTCAAAATGTGGAAAAATTTTTATAGGAATATTTTATGAGTGAGGCATGGCAAATGCGGTATGTAAGAGGACTTGGGGATGGGCACAGATAGGACAGTAGTCTCCCTGTTCACTTCCTGTAGCTTCAGTTATCTGTGGTCAACTATGATCTGGAAACATTAAGTGAAAAATTCCAAAAATAAATAATTCATACGTTTTAAATTGCTTGCTATTCTGAGTAGGATGATGAAATCTCACACTGTCCTCATCTGATCCACCCTGAACCAAGTTCATCCCTTTGTGCAACCTGTTCACTCTATATGTGCTATTCACTCCTCAGAATTCTTCTTGGCTAGAAAGAGAAGCTATAAAGTGCTTCCTTCAAATGAAGAAGTGGAAGTATAGCGAGTGTGAGAGAGCCTACAAGCATTTGCATAACTTTGATTACTATATAGGTATCACTTTTATTGTAATACTTTTGTTGCTAATCTTACTGTACCTAATATATAAACTTTATCATATGAATGTAGGTAAAGAAAAACTGTGAATAGAGCTCAGTACTCTATGTGGTTTCAAGTATCACTGCAAGGATCACAGAGGATGGGGTGATTACTGCATTCTATGTTATAAATTCAATTTAAATAACCAACCTATGCTGTTCCTTGTTAGGTGCTCTAGCTTGTACAAACAAGGAGACAAGGTCCTGACCCCTGAAGAGCTTACAATCCAATGAAAAGAGAAAGACAGATGTATAAACAAGTTCAAGACAAGATGGAAAATAGCCACGCTTGTGTGTCTGCTTGTTGAAGTTGTGCATACACAGTATAAAAATAAATCTTTTGCAACTCAGAACCCATTGCTCAGTGTGAGTTTTGATACATACAAGAAGGGATGATATTCAAGACAGCTCAGAGAGATAATGGTATTGATGATAGGGCTGATTCTAAGAACAAAGAGTTAATAATCTAAAAGAAACAGTTACAACATTCAGTGAATTTCAGAGGGGGCCTAGACAGTGTATTAGACAGCATGTTACCTGGTTCCTCCAGGTTCAAGGTAACTGAGCAGCAGTTGGACATGGAACTCATTATACTACTCTGTCAGTTTTGTTTTGTTTTGAACAGTCCTGTGCCTTGAGTTTGCAGTAAGAAATTTTATTGAGTAAGGCAACAATGCAGTAGGGAGTCATTCGTTTACACAGACATCATGGGTAGTTTTTGAAAGTGTGAATTCTACTGCTGCTGAGGACTGATGGACTCTGGACTTTGGCCAAAAGAGGAATAAAAAGACAGAAGAACCTTTTCTTAAATTACAATAACTCAGCAAAGGAAAGGAAAGTGGGGGTAGCCCTCAGGTGGGGATATAGGAACATTATTAACAAACAGTGGAAGGAAGACAGACCATAAAACACCTTCCATTTCCTGGTTCCACTCCGGAGTTTGGTGAGTTTTCAGGGAACATAATTTATTCCATCTAATTTTTTTAAAAAATTAAAATTTACTGTGTTAACATGTGGTCAAGAGAATCGTCTCAAACACCATAAAAAAAAAGTGGAGGTACCCCATCGTACATCCTCAACTCATTACACTCCCCAGTGTTAACATTGTGGGCATGTTCCAGATATTTTCTAGGTATAGCCTAGCAGGTATACACGTTTTTTTTTTTTTTTCTTTGTCCAAATAGTTGGTGATAACTCCCACAAACTAGAGGTTGAAGACACGATTAAAAAGTATGCACTTTGCAGATTACTGGACCTGGGCACAAATTTTCACCTTGCTTATTGTGACTACAAAACTTATTTAAACTTCAGTGGTTTGTGAAGTATAAAAAAATTACCTCTGCAAGGCTTGAGGATTAAAACTTGCAGTGTGTGAATCACTTACACAGAGCCAGATAATAGTAAATGTTCAATAAATACTATTATTGTCTATGGCAAACGACCTTTCTCATAGGAGTAAAAATAAGAAAACGTGTTCCTCTCATACTTTGATAACTTCCGTTAAGCAAACAAATGTTGCCCATTTCTTTCAACTAATTATATCTAAATGGAAAAATAAAGTTGCTTTTCCAGAGTGAAATCAAACTACATTTAAAGGGGGTTCTTTGCCAATACTCCCCCAAACCTCCCCAGTCCTCCATTGAGGCGTATAGACTCTCCAATTAAAAAACAACAACAAACTTTCGTGGTCTCATGGCGTGCGAACGCTCCTCCAGGTCGTTTTAAACACTGTTCAGCCTTTGCTTTGTCAAGCAATCGCAGGGTGGCACCCCTTTAAGCTCGACTCCCTTGGTCACGCCCCTCCATAGCCTCTAGAGACTTTAAGGGTGGCAGCGCGGGGGGGGGGGGGGGCGTATCTTTGATGGAACTGAGGGGACCCGGCGGCGGAGGGGCGCCTCCAGGGAGCAGCGGCAGGGTGGGGTGCGCTAGGGGTGCAGGCTGCTGGCAGAGGGGCTCGGCCCGAGCGCGGACAGGAGGCTCCTCTGGGGCGACCCTGGTACTGGTTTGTCCCCAATCGTCTGGGAGCATCATCCCGGCCTTCTGCAACCCGGCGGTCCCCCAGCCTCCACGCCCAGCCCGGGCCTGTCCCCCTCGCTAGCTTTCTTTTGGGGCACTGCCCTTTGCCCTCGCATGGAGTCCTCTGTTTACTCTCCCTTCACTTCCAGTCACCCATAGGTCACCCTCTCTCGACCACGGTCACCCATTTTTGTCCCCGATCCCCGGGGCTCTCTCCAGGTCTCCCGGGCCGGGGGCAGATGTTGCGGACCCCGCGGCCGGGGTGTGCTCGGCGGGGGAGCGCCGGCTGCACCTTGGCCCCGCGCTCGGGGACGCGGGAGGCAAGTTTCCGCCCCGTCCTCTCCGCGGTGACAGCGCTCGGAGGCGGCCGCAGCCGGGAGGCGGAGGGCGGGCCAGCCGGGCCCCGAGCCCCCTCCCCTGCTCGCGAGCTCGCGCGGTCTGTGTCTCTCTCCGCAAGTGCGGAGCGGCGGCGGCAGCGGAGGAGGAGGAGGAGGAGGGAGCTGGGGGAGGATCTCCATTGAAATAAACAACCAGGCAGCAGTTATTAACACGGGAACATGGCGGCCGCAGCCTGGGCTCCCGCGGCGGCGGCGAAGGTCAGCGCCGACGGCTGCCGGCACCTGACGGCGTGACGGCCCCTCCGGTAACCGCGCCTTCCCCGGGGGCCCCGAGGACGGCGGGCGGCGGGCGGGGGGCGCCGTGTCCCCTCCCGGGACTGCTGCCCTTGGTGCGCGCAGCCCGGCAGAGCTGCCAGGCGGGCTGTTTTTGTGTGCGGGCAGCGCTGCCTTGGCGTGCGGAGCCCGGGACTCGCCTCCTCCAGGCGCCGCCGAGCTGAGGACTCGGATGTTGGGGGGCTGGGGAGGGCGGGAAGCGGCTGGGCGACGCAGAGTCCCCGGGAGAGAAAGGAGGCACTCCAGCGCCCGGCCCGGAGGCTCGGGAGACCAGTCCCGGAGCGCGGGGCGGGCGGAGGCTGCAGCCCGCGGCGTCGCGGGAGAGGTGAGCGCCCAGGCCGGGAGCAGCCTTGGGAAGGAGCACCCGAGCCGACAGTGCAGCCTGACGGGCGGTGCAGCCGGGGCTGCAGCCTGCTTCCCGGGAGGCGCGGCGGCTGCAGCGCTGGGTGGGAGCCGGGCGAGGGGAGGCAGGACTCGGGAAGTGCCGGGGGTGTGTGAAGGTGACGCGGGGCTCCAGGGGGCGGCGGGCCGGGAAGCCGGGGTCGGGCGGCGGCGCGGCGCCGGGCTCGCCCCTGACTTAACTTTCTGGGTGCGGGCATGTGTGCCGGAGGCGCGCTGGGGCCGCGGCCGGGGGCGGGAGGCGGGCCGAGAGGTTCCGGGTTGGCTCGCCAGCGCCCCCTTCGCTGCCCCCCTTCTCCCCGCCCCTGCAGGGACCGGCCCTCGGGGGCCCCGGCGGGAAGCGGGAGGGGCCCTGGCGGCCTGGCTCGTATCGGTCACGCCCCGGCCCGGGGACCCTCCTCTCCCGGTCCCCGGAGGCTTCCGCGGGAGGCCGCCGGGGTCGGCGCCGCGGGCTGGAGCTGCGCACTCCGCCCCTCGGGGGAGTCCCAGAGGCGCCGCGGGCGCGATCGGGGGTGGCTCGGTCCCTGCTACCAAGGTCCCTCCTTCTCCCCTCCCCCTAGTGGCTTCCGGGGCTTGCGGGACCGAGGGGCGGGAATCGGGGACCCGAGACCCTCGCTCTGGTTGGGAGCGGCGCTGGGCCTCACGCCCAGAGGCCGGTCCCTGGCAGGGCAAACTTTCCCCAACCGGAGCCCGAGCCCCTGCACCCTCCGCCGCCACCTCGTCCTCTAATCCCACTCCCACTCCACCCCCTCCAAAGCCTTCCCCTCCCACCGACCCGAATCTTGCTGCGCCTGACTGATGAGGCAGTGAGCCAATGGGAGGCGGGAACTGACCTACCGGGTGTCGGTAAGCCAATGGCGGGGACCAGAGGCAGGAAAGGGGCGGGGCTTCTGCGGACCAGTTACAGTGGAGTTCCACGCGGGGCGGTGGAGTCATGGAGACGCCGAGAGCCATCCGCTCAGGCGGGTCCCTTGGTCACCAGCACCTTGGTCTGTGGGGTAGTGTCACTCACGGGGACTGTGACCTGAGGAGACTTGCGGAGATGCGCGAGATAGCGCTTTTCTCTCGTGCGCGAAGAGGCGTTGTCTTAGACGTGACAAAGTCTAAAGCCACTTCGGGATGTGGCAGTAACTCCGAGGCCGGGTTCTAAAATGGCATATGTTGGTAGTAATAGCGTTCTGGACCTCCGCGCCAGGTGTCCGTGCTAGGGAGCGTCGATGATCCGTGATGGTTTCACTCGGCCACTGTCCAGCACCGGGACGATGGAATTGCAACCCTCACCCTTAGAATGGAGGCGTGGGGTGGCCTTATGTCAAGTGATTCTTGCGAGTGTTAACGCATCGTTGTTTGCAATGGCTTCACCGGTTCCTTGTTCAATTGGACCGCCAGTCCCTTAAGCGCGTTTGAAAGTTCGGTATTTGGGAGGGAGAGGGGGAATGACTTTAAAAAGTTGTGATTTACCCTATGCTAATACATTTTCTTCTTTTGCTTTTTCTTGGGTAAACACTTGAAGTAAGGGACCAGTGCATCACTGAAATACTAAGCATGGATATTTAAGGAGCAAAGCTAGCCAAAGACTATTTGTAGAAAAAATAAATTAATAAAGTGTTGCTTGCCAGATTACTCCCATGCGAAAGATTCTTAAAAACAATTTTAGTTTCCTTAACACTGCTGAACTGTACAGTGTGGATACTTCTGTGCTGTATACACAGTGAAGTGCTATCTTTGTTTTAAGTGTTTGGGTCCAGTGAAGTGACTTTCTCAACTCCTGAGTTTAAGAACAGGGAGGAGGGTTGATTCTCTGTGAGGATCACAGGTTGCTCAGAGGGAATTACAGTCTCTTAAAAAGACAGCAGCTGCTGCAGTGCCTTTTGTGTGTGTGTGTGTGTGTGTGTGTGTGTGTGTGTGTGTGTGTGCATGCTCTCCTGTTCTTTGTTGGTGAGGTTTCTCCACTCTACAGCCTCAGCATTCTTTTTCCCAACTGGAATCTGTAGCATCTTGGGGAGTTCAAAGAATGAACGGTGTTAGATTAAGTATGAATTCTTTCATGTTGAAATACATAGCCCATGAATTTAATTTGGGGATTTTTTTTAAGATGCTTTATGGGCATGATGTTTATGTTACCATACTAGGTTATCTAGCCCTTATTAATATTGAGTTGCTGAAGAATTGAGAGATGCTGTAATGTTAGGAAACAGTATTCTGTTGTAGTATACAACTTCAAATTTATAGTGTAAATTTCCAGTCCAGTGTAATTTTGAGTGTTCTCATAGAAATAAATTGCATTTTGCTGTAGCCTTTGAGGTGTTATTCTGGTGATAAAAGAGTCAAAAGGAAGATAAAACAAGCATTTATTTTGACTGACGGAAGTAAGGAGTATTGTAAATTAGCATTCAAAATGCAGTAGCATCCAGGCACTTCCATCATTAGTTAATTTAGTTACTGAGGCCCTCTCTGATGTAGGCCCTTTTCTCTTCCTGAATTCTTAAGAGCAACCCATTATTTTACTTCATTCTCTGTAAAGGTCCTTGACTGTGTTCTTAGATTCTTGGTGGCAAAGAGTAGGGAGTCCCCTCATGTCAGGCTGGGGACCTCTCAAGCATATGGAGACATCTAGAAAAAGATGTGCATTGTCAGCTGTGATCCCATTGTGTGCTCTCAGGCTGGAGCTGAGCCTTCTTCCTCCTGGGAATTTCCCTCTTAAAGGAAGAATTCTTTGACTTTTAGATGTCAGGGTACTGAGGCCCAGGGTAGAAGAGAGCTCACAAATCATGAATTTAGTGGTTTGGGGGTAGTTAATAATTTTTAAAAATTTTAATCCTTCATTGGTTAAATAGAATTTAGATGACTTTCAGCACGAGAAAAACATTTTACTGAAAATATAAAAAAGGGTGTTGGAGGTGGTCTTGGGCTTTTGCACAGGAATTCATAAAGGAGTAATGTGCCTTGGTTGATTTTCTTTCCATAGCTGTATCTTATTAAAGCTTTCCAAGTCTCTGGAATCCAGGATCTGTGAGCAGGCTTCTATTTCACACACACTGTATTTAAGGATTTAGCACCTTAGCTGTTTCAAATCACAGCAGGTTGAAATGTGACCCATAAGTTGACAGCTTAGATTTCTAAGAAAAATTGTTTTCGTTGTGTTGGATATAAAAGCCTTTCTTTAAAGCAGTCCTTCTTAGAATGTTGGCTAGAAAAAGAAAGAAGAGTGGCCTTTTAAAGCAATTTTTAATAGATTAATTTTTCTGAAATGCACAGGTATGTCTTTATTTGGTATTTTGACCATTGTTGTGTCATAACTGAAATTATATCTAAAAGCATAGCTACTGTTTAGCTGTTGTTATGACAAAACTGGTGTTTAAGCAATTATAGTTTTTTAATAATTTGTGTTTATAATTTTGTTTGGTATTATATATATTATTACATGCTTTATTAGATTTTTAAATGAAGAAAATAGGAGAAAGTAAGCTGAGGTATCGGTCATCATAAAATCAACAGCAAATCAGGGACTCTTTCCTAGTGAAATAGTCCTATATTTACATAGCAGTAACGAAATCAGGTAATGGAAAACCTTCCATTTTTTTCCCCACCCTTTCCTATTACTAACTCTTTTTACTTCTATGTCCTTTGTAAACGGAAAAGAAATTCCTAGTGTTTTTTAATATTATATTTATTATTTTATTATGTATGGTATTGCCTGCTATAGGTAAGTGCACCCATGTTCCCATGTTGTGCAATGCTCGCAGAGGACAGAAGATGTTGTCAGATCCCCTGGAACTGGAGTTATGGACAGTTGTTAGCTGCCATGTGGCTGCTGGGATTTAAACCCAGGTCTTCTGCAAGAACAGCCAGTGTTCTTAACTACTGAGCCATCTCCCCAGCCCCAAGTTCCTAGTGTTTATGTGCTGGTTTTTTTTTAGACCTCTAGGAGGCTTTGACGTTTGCAAGCCAGAAAAGGAATACCATGCCATACCACTCTCTAAGACCCTTAGAAAGTATTGTCTGGGAAAGCTATAAAGTATGGTTTAGTGTCACAGACCCTTAGTTCAGACAACAGAGAGAAAAACTCATGCTTTGAGGATTCTAGATGCCAGTTTTTAGACAGTGGTGAGAATGTGACTTCTGTGCTATTTTCAAAGTGTGCAGTTTTCCTAGCAGTCGTAAAAGTGATTGTGGAGTGGAGTTCTTAGAGGTAAACAGAAATCACTAGAATTAAGACTAGCAGGTTTGTAAGAAGAAAACAAGGTATTTGAGTTTTAGAGCCAAGGCTTTCTGTGTTTGTCCATAAATGCTGATCACTGATCACCCACAACGTTTCTGGCATAGTGAGGATAGTGATCTGCTGGGGTTAATTCTAGGACACCGTTCATTTGGTTCCGTGGTTGGAAATATCTAAAGAGAGCAAATGAACAGAGGACCTATGTTAATGCTTTACTGCCTTGGAGGCTTTGGAATAGAGTCAGGAATTGGGAGAGGTGTTAGATGTTGTTAACAACTAGTTAGATGTACTAAACGAATCTTTGACTAGGAGCAATTGACAGGTAGATGAAAAATTCAAATCAGCTGGTAATTCTGGTGGGATTCATGCCTCAAGGCAATCGGTTCCACTCTGTTTTGGTCCTCTTGGTCAGTGGAATCCTCCTCTTGGTCTGGTCTTTGCATTTCTGCCTCCTTTAGCTGTTGTTTCATTCATTTATTCACATAGGCATTTGATGGGGATGAGTGCCCTGGCCTTGGCAGTGTATTTGGCAGCAAAATCTAAACTAAACTATGGGTTACAAATCACAGGGTGATGGTCTCCCTCCCCCTCTCCATTTTGATGGGTAAGAAGGTAGAAAAGGAACTCATTTGCCCTAATTTCTTTTTATTTATTCATTTTATGTGTATGAGTGTTATGCCTGCCTGTGTATTTTGTGCACCCATGTCATACAGTGCCCATGGAGGACAGAAGAGGACATCGGATTCCTTGGAACTGGAGTTATGGATGGTTGTTAGCTGCCATGTGGGTGCTGGGATTAGAACCTGGGTCTTCTGTAAGAACAGTTGGTGCTCTTAACCACTGAGCTATCTCTCAAGCCCTGATTTGCCCTAATTTCAACATACTTTAAGATCTGTTCTTTTGTATGTGTATGTAATTTTATGTGTATAATATCAGCAAACTCTGCTTTAATTTACAATAAAAAAGCAGTAGAGGGGCTGGAGAGATGACTCAGTGGTTAAGAGAATTGACTGCTCTTGCAGAGAACCCAGGTTCAGTTCCTAGCATCCATGTGGCAGCCCACAACCACCTGTAACTTCTGTTCCAGGGGATCTGATGCCCTCTTCTGGCTTCTGGGCACTGTGTGCATGTGGTGCTCTTAACAAGCAGCAAAACACACAAAAAATAAAAATTAAGAAAACATTCTCAAGAATTTGTGAGGCTGGGGAGATGGTTCATTGAGTAAAATGTCTGCACTGCAAACATGAGGACCTGAATTTCAGTCCCTAGCAGCTGCATAAAAGCCTCACGTGGTTGCACCATCTGTAACCTAGTGCTGGGGGGCAGAGACCAGCTGATCCCTGGCACTCACTAGGCAGCCAGTCTAGTGAGTTAGTGGGCTTTGGGGTCAGGGAGATGCCCTGTCTCAAAAAATTAAGGTGGAGAGCAAAGAGGAAGATGCCTGATGTTGACCTCTGACCTCCCGCCATACCTGCATACACACATGTACACACAAATACATGCTCATACCCCCCTCCAAATCTTGTTAAAATGTCCTCTTGTCAGGTGAGTTTGCAATAAAGTAGATCTCCTTTAATAAAAATATGGACGTTTATGATTAGCTTTGTTGTATTTGATCTGGAGTTGAGTTGCTCACCTCTTTTTATATTCCTGTGTGTTATGGTGTGTGGTCAGACAGTGACACTCTGCAGCTGGAGGGATGTGACAGTGTGGACATCTTGTGCCTCACCCCCAT